ACTGCAGCTGCTACTGCTGCTACTACTACTGCTGCTACTACTGCTGCTACTACTGCTGCTACTACTGCTGTTGCTGCTACTGCTGCTGCTACTACTGCTGCTACTACTGCTGCTGCTACTACTGCTGCTACTACTGCTGCTGCTGCTACTACTGCTGCTGCTACTACTGCTGCTGCTGGGGACAGATGGAGGATGCATTATGTAAATCAGAGTGATCTCAGTAATGGCCTGTTTAACGGCTGCCCCACATCACACCGGCACCGATCCGGACGCACTCACACGCCAGAGATGGACACACACACACACAGTACACACACAGTACACACACAGTACATACATCTATGACGCAACAGACCTGGCGTCGGGTTTCGCTCCGTCCATAGTCATAAGAACTCCTGTCCAAATGCTCCTTTCTCAAACTCGTTATGCTTTGATAACTCTATGACGTATTGCCTCTGGAATTAGTTTTGTGAATTTCTCCAGTCCAATTGTTGTGGGGATTTTTGTGTCCCTTCTCATCCTGAACTTTTTTCCTTTTTAATTCCATTGGTTTTCTATCAATCCACACTTTAGTGCAACAAACTCACCTCACTCTTGTTTTGGTCTCGCTCCGCTCTGACCAGCGGCGCCCTGATTGGTCAGAACTCTCAGGTTTTGCTCTGGTCTCTTTCTGGTCTCTTTCTGGTCTCGCTCTCTCTCTCTGGTCTCTCGCTCTCTCTGGTCTCTCTCTGGTCTCTCTCTGGTTTCTCTCTCTCTCGCTCTCTCTGGTCTCTCTCTGGTATCTCTCTGGTCTCTCTGGTATCTCTCTGGTCTCTCGCTCTCTCTGGTCTCTCTCTGGTATCTCTCTGGTCTCTCTGGTATCTCTCTGGTCTCTCGCTCTCTCTGGTCTCTCGGATTTCTCTCTGGTCTCTCTCTCTGGTATCTCTCTGGTCTCTCTCTGGTCTCTCTCTGGTCTCTCTGGTATCTCTCTGGTCTCTCTCTGGTCTCTCTGGTATCTCTCTGGTCTCTCTCTGGTCTCTCTCTGGTATCTCTCTGGTCTCTCTCTGGTCTCTCTCTGGTCTCTCTCTGGTCTCTCTCTGGTCTCTCTCTGGTCTCTCTCTGGTCTCTCTCTATCTCTCTCTGGTATCTCTCTGGTCTCTCTCTGGTCTCTCTCTGGTCTCTCTCTGGTCTCTCTCTGGTCTCTCTCTGGTCTCTCTCTGGTCTCTCTCTGGTATCTCTCTGTGGTCTCACCTTATTTTAAACCCTGCAGTTTTTGTCCACTTTTGTACCGAGTGGGTTTGGTCCTGGTCTTCACATGGTCTGGCCACATTTTGTCCTAGTTTATCAGTAATCTTGAATGTATCATCAAAGATCACGTTTCAATAAGGTCTGAAAAAGTCTCAAACCAGAGATAACAATAAACCGTGTTAGTGCAGAGCTGAAAATAATTCTTTATTCTACTGAAACTAAAATTCACAAATCACCAGAATTAAACTTCCTGTTTCTCGCCATCCTGGTTACGGCTTTACGGAGCTTCTCAGGGAATCCATGTGTCACCAAGGTATGGCCAAAAAAATTTCAATTTGATATCCGTGGTGATGTGAAAAACAAAATAAAAATGGATTGAATGAAGTTCCCTCCCTCCTTTTGTTCATCAGTGTTCACTTTTCAGGCTGCGTCCCCCGACACTGGTTTTAATCCGACTTAACCGTAACTGGATGAAGTGGTCCTGAGAGAGAGGCTGTGAGATAAGGAGAGGAATAAGCAGCGCAGTTTGGGAAAATACCGTTCATTTGGATTCACCACTTTATCACTCATTTAGTTTTGTTATAATTATGTTATATGTTAGGTCATCATCTTTACATTAGATTACACAGATTATACTGTACATTCACTTTTTTATCTTTTTGCATGACGATTGCATTTGTCTACCTTGTACGTATCTGTGCCATTGCCTGAACTAAATGAAAAAATTAAAAAAGAATAAATACATTTTCAGGTGGATATAAAATCTATTTCTTCTATATTTCAGGTGATGTAGGTCAAGTCACCGTTGTGGGTGAGGGTTGAAGCAATGTTTTGATAGAATTGATAAAATACTGATAAAACATACATGCATATATAATACACCGTAGACTGAATTTGGAAGACGCAGATTTGAGCATAAGCTAGCTAGAGCCGATTTCCTTATATGGGTATTTGTTCCGACGGCAGACCTGTTGCTAAGATGGTTGCTATGGCAAGCTGTGAAGTTTCCCCGCAGATGAAATCAATTTAAAGCCCTAAATCACAACAGTACAGCATTTGTCTCGGAGGACTTAGCAAAGTTGGTGATTGGCCAAAAACAGATCAAAGAATCAAACACAGAAATCGCAATAGTAATAAACTCATAGAATCCATTGACCACTGTTGTCCATAAATGTAAATAAATGTTCTTAAATCTCCCGGATCATCACTGTCCTTAGACCAGGGGTGTTTAACTGGTTCCAGAAAGGGCCCGGTGTGGCAGCAGGTTTTCATTCCGACCCGCCAAAGCACACACAGGTAAAGACTGGACTCACTTGAGGAAAGGGGTGGAGTCTTGGCTTGTTGGAACGAAAACCTGCAGCTACACTGGCCATTCGAGGACCCTGTGTTAGACCCTCCAGAGAAACACAACAGGACTGAAAACGGGAAAAAAAGACATACATTTTCAGATCATTGTTGAGCTTTGGAATGTCTTAAATGTGTAATTATGAGCCACAACCACAGACTTAACACTAAACCTTAACGCAAGAGAACCTAAATCGCAAAGACAGGCAGGGCGGAAAAAGCGGGGGAGATTTAGTTTAGTCAGGAGATGAGAGAGAGAATAAGATAGGGAAGTCTAAATGGAATAATAGCTGTGGGAGGAGGGGGGAGGCTAATGCACAGTGGAAGTGTGCGTGGGCGTGTGGAGGTGGTTTTCTTGGAGCCGATGCCGCTGCTGCCGAAGGACGAGTTTGAATATGTCGGACTGCCTTCAGTGCCCACTCACAGGTATAAATAACGCGGACGTATGGTGCCTTCAGTGTAGGCTTTTGTGTCCCACTGACTTGTGCTGGGAGCAGAGGAGATGGAGGAGCGCTGTAGTAAGAAGAGAACGAAGATGGGATTAAAAAAAAAAGGTTGTTATCGAGGCGAAACTAGCAAGAAATGACTGCCCCAAATATGTGACATGCGTAAAAATGCATAAGCAGTTTAAATGCCTGTGTTTTTGAAGGTAGTTTTTCTGTTTATTACAAATTGCCTTCTATAGCCCTAAATCACAACAGTATTTATCGCTGAGGACTTTACCAAACCGGTGAATTCTCCAACACAGATCAGAGAATCAAACAGTCAAAACACAAGAAATGCAACGATTAAAAAACACAGAAAGAGTCATTGTTCCATAAGGGGCAGATTAACAATGTCCATAAATGTCGTTGAACGTCGAGTGTCCTGGATCATCACCACTGTCCTCAGACCCTCCTGCATCAGCCAGGAAAAACTCTCATCTCTCACCCTCATTTTTATTTCTGTGGTGTTCACCCTGTTCATAAATGTGAAGTAAAATTGACCAAGACAAAGCAGATGCGATGCCACTCAGTCAGGTACCACTAAAGGTTGTACATATATACTGTAAAAATAGAAGTTCAACATTTCCTGTGGCATTTCAGAGAAGTCACATAATGACCTCTTAATTGTGTGTGCGTGTGCGTGTGTGTGTGCGTGCGCGTGTGTGCAAAATCACACATTTTCAGCCCTGTTACTATAGTTATCTAATACGTTTGGGTTTGTTTATGCCATGTGATGCATATGTGTGTGCGTATGCGTGTGTGCGTATGCGTGTGTGCGTGTGCTTTTGAAGATGCTATTTCCCTTATGCTTCCGATGGAAATGATCAAACAGATTGGGCCATTTCTTCTACAAAACATGAAGCATTATTTCTCCAACACGTGTGATTGTTCCTTGTAAGGTCCTGTCTCAGATTTCTGATTATTAACGAAGAGTCATTTTACATGTTTTCTGTCTTTTACTGTGATACACATTCCTCATACATAACTATAGAAGAATTCTAGTCCAATTTAAGACAGAGTTCAGTACTTTAGACCCTTTCCTGACTCCTCCTCCCCACCTGCGAGCCTCTTTAGTCCCTGTCCTACAGCCTCAGTCCCGGATCTACAGCCTCAGTCCTGGATCTACAGCCTCAGTCCTGGATCTACAGCCTCAGTCCCGGATCTACAGCCTCAGTCCTGGATCTACAGCCTCAGTCCTGGATCTACAGCCTCGGTCCTGGATCTACAGCCTCAGTCCTGGATCTACCGCCTCAGTCCCGGATCTACAGCCTCAGTCCTGGATCTACAGCCTCAGTCCTGGATCTACAGCCTCGGTCCTGGATCTACAGCCTCAGTCCTGGATCTACAGCCTCAGTCCTGGATCTACAGCCTCGGTCCTGGATCTACCGCCTCAGTCCTGGATCTACAGCCTCAGTCCTGGATCTACAGCCTCAGTCCTGGATCTACAGCCTCGGTCCTGGATCTACAGCCTCAGTCCTGGATCTACAGCCTCAGTCCTGGATCTACAGCCTCGGTCCTGGATCTACCGCCTCAGTCCTGGATCTACAGCCTCAGTCCTGGATCTTCTCCCATTGTGGGAGAGGGATCTCACTTTACCCCAATGGGTTTTTGAGTCGTTTCTGGCCGATCTAGGAGGGTCTAAGGACAGTGATGACCCGGGACATTTAAGGACATTTATGAACATTTATGGACATTGGACATCCCACTCTGTACGGACCAATGGCTCATGTGTTTATTTTTAATTGTTAGTTTGTAAAGTCCACCAAGATGTGAGACCTGTTGTGAGTTAGGGCTGGGCAAATTGCACCTGCTTTAGGCCTGGTTTCTTCCTTGCTGGTACTCGAGCACAGTGCCTACAGTTGAATAATGTACAGTGTGATAGATATTTATTCTAATGCACTAATGGGTATACGTCTCCTCACTCCTGTGTTTTTTTTCTCGCAGCCTCAGGGACCAACGACAATGAGGAGCGAGTGTTCCGCGAGCGCATCGGGCCGCGCCGACGCCAGGGCGCGGTCCGCAGGCGGGTTCACCAGGTCAACGGACACAAGTTCATGGCCACGTACCTGCGGCAGCCCACCTACTGCTCCCACTGCCGCGACTTCATCTGGTCAGAAACATCTTATTGTACATTCAAACATAGCACGTCATGTACACTGTAAAAAGTGATCAAATATATGGTAATACATGCTTGATATGAGTCTCTCAGATTGACTGTATTTTGCAATTTATGTCTATGTTTTAGAATAATCTTTGTCATTAATACCTGGTCCTTGTGTTCTTCCAGGGGAGTCTTGGGGAAGCAGGGATACCAGTGCCAGGGTGAGTGTCTCTGTCTTGTACGATGTTGAACGAACGTCAAGATGCATTGGAGTTATCAGTGATTGTGAAATTGTGCTGTTTTTCCTGTAGTTTGCACCTGCGTGGTCCACAAACGCTGCCACGAACTCATCATCACCAAATGTGCGGGGATGAAGAAGCAGGAGGACACACCAGAGGAGGTACTTTAGACCACAACTGATTGAAACGCACACACAAACAAGATATGTAAAAATTCAGCTCAATTCAATCTATATTAAAGGTGCAGTGAGCGATGTTGTTAGCTTAGCCGTAGCACCGACTCAAAACCAATCCCCCTCCCCTCGCCTCTCCACCAAACCAAACATCCAGCATTTTCTTTTCTTTGTCACAGCAGGGAGAGTGGGTGGCAAAAGTGAATTGGCATTTTCTGTTCAGCGCTTTTAGGTTTTAGAAAATCCGATAACTCAGGTGCGGACACTCGCGAGAAACAGAAACAGAAAGAAACACATCCCATTGGGTTATTTTTATCAGTCCGCTCCAAAATATTTTGTATTAATTTTTGGAGACTATAGGCATCTGTTCAATTCCATTACTTTTTGAAAACACATGATAATTGACTACTTCTAGGGTTAAGGGACGTTTTCCCACAATATTTAAATAAATGTGTCTGGAAAAAAATCACTAACCACATCTTTAATGCATAGCCCTAAATGTCAAAAGCAGTCGCCCCTGAGGATTGAAGTAATTTAGCATATCTTTTGTTTGTACCTTCATTGACGAGTAGATAGACCTCAGGAACAATAGCTAAAACTGTATATTTCTGTAGCTAATGTGGATCTGAATAATAACAAACAAACAAACTCCAGACTAAACTCGATATTGAATGATGTTGACACAGTCGGGAGAAAGGAGAGACGGGACAGTTCTCAGGTTGCCCTCCATCCTCTGTCTCTGTCCTGTCCTCTGTCTCTGTCTTGTGACATAATGCCAAGTGGCCTGCCGCCTGTTTGTGACTGTGTGGCGCCCCCTGCAGGTCGGATCCCAGCGCTTCAGTGTGAACATGCCCCACAAGTTCAGCATCCACAACTATAAGGTTCCCACGTTCTGCGACCACTGCGGCTCGCTGCTGTGGGGGCTCATGAGACAGGGGCTGCAGTGCAAAGGTCAGTGTGCCTCTACTACTGATGCCCTGGAGATACATGTTTCATTTTGAGGCAGAAAAACGTAATCATAAGAAGCATTCCCATTTTACCACAGAGAAAAATATATAGTTTAATTATAAGTAAAGCGAACCATGCCTGCAAAATGTACCATAAGACTTATAATTAATATATTATTAATGATTATTATTAAAAACTGGTAAAAACTTGCTTGACCCCAGCAGGTGGATTGCATCAGTAGACATGTGTCAGAGTTGGATGACTTTATTAGACCAGTAAGAGTGTGCATATTGCATATTTTCCCTTTGCTTGGTTAATTTAACTATTTAACTATCTAAACCCTTTTGTGGTTAAATAGCGCTTAATTATTATTATTATTCCTTATTCTACATGGTCTTATTCAACATCTAACTAACTACTAACATGACACTTTCCCATGTGGGGTAAGGTTAGCGTTACTTCTTGACATATCTTTATTACGAGGAATAGCCTCTTGAGGTGCATCATCTCGTTTGCAGGAGGGTCCTCAAAAATAGCAACACAAGTAGCAGCAGCGGTTGTCAAATAAATGCAGTTAGAGTTAGGGTGAGGGTTAGCATTAGAGATAGTATTAGGGTAAGCGTTAGGGTGATGACTAGTATGTGGGTTAGTTTTAGGGTTAGCGTTAGGGTGAGGGCTAGGGTTAGTGTTTGGGTTCATGTTAGGGTTAGTGTTAGGGTTAAGGTACACTACACTGGTAATTAGTGAGTTAACAAGCATTGAGGTGTTACAGGCTTATTTTATTTTAAATATAAATTTAAAATAAGGGTGCGTCTCCACACGTGGCCCTGACGTTGTGTTTGCATTGGGGGCAGTGTGTAAGATGAACGTGCATCGACGCTGTGAGACCAACGTGGCTCCGAACTGCGGGGTGGACGCCCGCGGCATCGCCAAAGTGCTGTCCGACCTCGGAGTGACGCCCGACAAGATCTCCAACACGGCCCAGCGCAGGAGGAAGGTAAACTAGGATCCAAATATGAATCCGTCAAAATCAAAATAAGTTTAAAGCTGCTTGAATATCCTCCTTTTTTATCCGGGTAAGACTATTAACTATTTTCAAATATTCTCACAATTCAGTATGATTAGCACAAAACTAAATTTTAGCAATTTTTTAAATATTTTTCTTTGCAAAGGACTTAAATAATTCCAGTGTGCATTTAGTTTAGTTTAGTTTATTATTATTGCCACATACGCAGTGAATGTTCTGAGTACCTCTAGCAGTATTCAGAACAAACTGTACAGTATTCAGAACACACAACAAAAACAGATTTAAGCTTGGTTTAGCTGTTTTTTGGATTTGCATTTTGAGATTTTGCCTTGACTGTGATTATTGTTGTCCTAGGTTTTTTTCTGTTTTGCCTTTAGTGTGTTGTTGTCTACTGGGAAAAATGGTGGTTATTTGTATGCACCGATATTCCGATGAGCTTTTTAACTGTTAATGGCAAACAACATTTTCCGTGTGAGAAAGTCCTCCTCCTGACTTCTGCTGCTGCTCTTGTTTTGTTTTGGTGCAGTTGACTCCAGGGCAGGACCCTCCGCAGTCGCCTCCGGATCTGTCTCAGAGCGAGGACAGTAGCTTCAGCCCCCCCGCGGTGCCCACCTCCCCCTCGCAGCAGGGTAAATATCACTGCACTCTGGAATACAAGCCACCCATAGCAAAGATGAAGTGCAACATGTGTTCTGTAGCTACAGTATGTATGGAGTCCCATTGTGGCATCTGCTGTTTCTGCTTCCTCATGAAAAAAACTGCTTCATAATTCATTAAATCTAATTCAGTATAGCCCTAAAACACAACAGTAGTTATCACGGCGGACTTTTCATTCGCGAACACCGATCAGACAGACTCAAACATTTCAAACACAGAAAATTCAATGATAAAATAAAACATGAATGAATGGTCCATAATGGGCAGATGACCGATGTCCATAAATGTCCACAATTTTAGAAGCAAAGTGAGAATTAGCTTGTCAGAATTAGCTCTTAATTGTCCCAATGGCAAATATGGATTTAAGACAGTCAATTTGCATAGATGTTGATAAATGTATTTTTGTATAATCGTGATTCACAAAAAACACGATTGCAGGATTTTGTGGTAATATATTTGCCAAAAATGTGCTTTTACGCTAAATATGATAGCGTGGTTTGGTTGAATTATTGTTACGAAGTTTGAGCGCTACAGCAAAGTTACTAGACGCCTTTGAAAGCATCACAATGGTCCGTCTGATCAGCCTTGTGCATGTAGTGGACTAGAGTGGTCCACTACATGCACCGGTTCGGGAGTAACACAGGATAGAGCCCATTTTTTTCTAAAGCTTACTCCGTATTTTTATGTTTTGTAAACTTACTGAGAATTTATTCATCATCACACAAAATCAGATAAGAAAACCTCGTCCCACTGAAGAGGAATTTCAGACAAAACGGGAGTACACAAATGCACATGCACATTAATCAAGTCACTTAGTCACCTATTTAGTCACTGTGAAAATGTTCTTTATCAGACAAATGTTTGTGAAAGTCAAGTGAAAATACGTGTTATATTGAGCTGGAACTGCTCAAGTTAGATTTTTATCAAAGCTGGGGTACCTAACTTTAAAAAGACACAAAACGTATAATACACAAACTAGTTCTGGTTCGATCACTAGTTTTCATACGCGTTTATTTTTTTGCCTCTGTCACTTCTGATCAGTTTTTTCAGACAGAAAAGTGAAAGAAAGAGAGGACTACAATAACTCAGTGTCAAATAGTGACTCACAGGTCTCTGTCTCACAAATATGCAAAATATAACATTATTTTTTAAGACAAAGACAGAATGCTGTGGCCTGAACGTTTTAGTTTTACTTTCTATCGGGACAAAAAACATGTATTATTATTGAGAAAACGTTAGCTGCAGTTTACACCAGCTTTGAAGTGCTGTTGTGTAAAAGAATGAGATTGAAGAGAGTTCCCACGAAATGTGATCATACGACTAATGGCAGAAGAAAATGTTTAAACGTTCATTTGGATTTGTCCAGACTTGCTGTGCGTGTGATGTATCTCGGCGCGTCTGGACGAGAAAGTTACTGCAAATGACGTCAGCACTTTAGGAGAGATAAGAAAGAGGTTTTACAAGCAACTCAGGACACTAACAAGCGACAAAAAGACAATCATGGAAATCAATAAGAAAACAAATCATAAGTTTATTTATAAATCAATATACAGTAATTCATGTAGTGCTTTACAAAAACATATTTACGTTATAAAACAATCATACATTTAAAAAAAACACTCAATGTCAGAATTTTAACCCAGTATTAAAACTATAATAGACTAAGCTTTATGCTATTGCTAACCCTAACCATAATACACTTATAAGGCTAACCCTATCCCTAATAATACACTATCAATCAATCAATCAGGTTTATTTGTAGAGCGCCTTTCATACACAGGGCAACACAAAGTGCTTCACAGTCCACATCACCCAAGGCACAATTCATCACATAAAAACAAATGTATACCATTAAAACTTTAAAATTACACAATGAATTAAAAAATAAATAAATAACCACAGTGCATTAAAGATAAAATCCTTCAGTTGTATGCCCAGGCAAACAAAACAGTCTTTAACCTGGATTTGAACATCGCCAGAGTAGACGCCTCCCTCACATTTTCAGGGAGACTGTTCCAGATTTAAGCTGCACTACAGCTAACCCTATTCCTCCCCTGTCATACACACATTTAAATAGAACGGTTTTCAGCCTGGACTTAAAACAATGCTTTAGGAAGACTGTTCCAGATTCTAGAGTCCTGACTAGAATCCAAGTTGGTTCATATGGTACTAACATGTCACTTGTGTACTTTGGTGCAAGGCCATGGAGAGACTTCTACACAAAAAGAGCTGCTTTAAGGTCTATTCTCTGAGCCACAAGAAGCCAATGCAGAGACCTGAGAACTGGTACTTCCTGGTTCTAGTCAGGACTCATTCTGCCTCTTGGTATACACTTTACAATCTAAATATCAGTGCATTTATTTGTAAGAAGTTCTCTCTCGCAGCAGGCAGAACAAGGCTTACTGTTTTAAAGGGAACATTAAACTTGAAATTGTGTCACTATTGTTGTTCAAACCTGCTTCACCGAGGGCCGTCCGCCCACCGCCATTTGCTCCTCACAGTTAGTCAGGACTTCACACTTTCCATCAGAGAAACACTGTGTCCCCGTCCTCCACACAGGCCACAGCAAAAGCCTCGATAACGGCCGCTCTAATCTTTATATTAATTACTGCAAATAACACCGGTTTCATTGTTTTTTTTTACCACAAAAGCCAATGTGAGGTTTTAAGGCAGTGTGGCCCATGTGATGCCAAACAAAATCATTTTTATTTGGATATGGCAATTTGGATCACTGATTTCAAGAAACTGTGTTCAGTAAGGGTTTGCTGAAGAGGAGTTTTAAATACCCTCGCACCCTATTTAAAGCTGGGGTACTGAATTTTCAAACCGCAAACACATTAACTGTATGATCAAATCTATCAGACTAGTTTCTCGCTCTCAAAACAGTTTGGTTCGATCATTAGTTTCATGTAATTTTGGCGTCGGTCACATCCTTAGATCAGCTTTTTCAGACAGAAAAGCAAAAAAAGAGAGGATCAATGTGACTCAGCTCTCAGCCCAAATCTTCAAATAGTGACTCACGGAGGGTCTAATATCAAGATAGTATAGTACTTAAAATGAGTGGGAGGATAATACTTGAAAAAATGGAGTATCATTTTTTATTAAACGATTAACAATGTCTGTCTTTATGTTTGAATTTAAGTTTATTTAAGTAAAAAGCCCCAGGAGTTGAATTGTCTCATTTTCGAGGGGATCCTAAACATAAATACAAACATACATGAATAAATACATACATAACAATTTACAGACAATTAAAAAAAGAAAATATCTATTCCGTTTTAGTGATTTTAGCCCTTGATTGGTCTGTTGGTGCTAATTATCTGGACAGTTATTGAAAATTAAGAAGCCAAGTTTTTCTATTTTGGGCAATAAAAAATACCCGACTTTTTCCTCTGGTGTTTTTGATAACGATAATCTTATTGTGATCCGTTCGTCCCATCCCTAGACTTGTCCGAGAGGCTGAAGGACGTCCTGTCTCTGGACCAGGGAGTTCCGCAGAACTCCTCCTCCTCGGCCTCCTCCACCACCTCCTCTTCCTCCTCCTCCTCCTCTTCCTCCGCAGGGCGAGAGAACGGGCAGATGCAACGCCGGACGCTCAAAGACTTCAACTTCATCAAGGTCCTGGGCAAAGGCAGCTTCGGAAAGGTGCGTGGACTCAGCAGACTTTCACACCCTCCAGAAGGTGACCCGAGGCAAAAAAAGAAATGACCTAATCTAAAATATGTTTGAGGTTTTGAGTGGCCCAGAAAATTCTCATGAAGTAACCTCAAAGGGAGAAAAAACAGGCCAGCAGGACTGAAGTAGACTTAACTAATAATGAATACATAATAAACAAATTGATTAGGATTTATTTTGTTTTCAACTGCTTTAAGGAGGACTTTTTTTTTCACAAAACTTGGCAACTTTTCTGTTAACTTCTGCATTGATCTTCTTAAGTTAAATGTTTTTAGGAAAATGTTTGTACCAATTGAAACTGAATTTTTTTTTGAAAATAATTAATGCATCCTCACAGGAGAGGAGAGGACCGGCACAACACTAGGAGAAAGACAGGAGAGGACCGGCACAACACTAGGAGAAAGACAGGAGAGGACCGGCACAACACTAGGAGAAAGACAGGAGGGGACCAGCACAACACTAGGAGAAAGACAGGAGAGGACCGGCATAACACTAGGAGAAAGACAGGAGAGGAGCGGTATAACACTGGGAGAAAGACAGGAGAGGAGCGGTATAACACTGGGAGAAAGACAGGAGGGGACCGGCATAACACTGGGAGAAAGACAGGAGAGGACCGGCACAACACTAGGAGAAAGACAGGAGAGGACCGGCATAACACTAGGAGAAAGACAGGAGGGGACCAGCACAACACTAGGAGAAAGACAGGAGAGGACCGGCACAACACTAGGAGAAAGACAGAAGGGGACCAGCACAACACTAGGAGAAAGACAGGAGAGGACCGGCACAACACTAGGAGAAAGACAGGAGAGGACCGGCATAACACTAGGAGAAAGACAGGAGAGGAGCGGTATAACACTGGGAGAAAGACAGGAGAGGACCGGCACAACACTAGGAGAAAGACAGGAGAGGACCGGCACAACACTAGGAGAAAGACAGGAGAGGACCAGCACAACACTAGGAGAAAGACAGGAGAGGACCGGCACAACACTAGGAGAAAGACAGGAGAGGACCGGCACAACACTAGGAGAAAGACAGGAGGGGACCAGCACAACACTAGGAGAAAGACAGGAGAGGACCGGCACAACACTAGGAGAAAGACAGGAGGGGACCGGTATAACACTAGGAGAAAGACAGGAGGGGACCAGCACAACACTAGGAGAAAGACAGGAGAGGACCGGCATAACACTAGGAGAAAGACAGGAGGGGACCAGCACAACACTAGGAGAAAGACAGGAGAGGACCGGCATAACACTAGGAGAAAGACAGGAGGGGACCAGCACAACACTAGGAGAAAGACAGGAGAGGACCGGCATAACACTAGGAGAAAGACAGGAGGGGACCGGCACAACACTAGGAGAAAGACAGGAGAGGACCGGCACAACACTAGGAGAAAGACAGGAGAGGACCGGTAAACACTAGGAGAAAGACAGGAGGGGACCGGCACAACACTAGGAGAAAGACAGGAGAGGACCGGCACAACACTAGGAGAAAGACAGGAGAGGACCGGTACAACACTAGGAGAAAGACAGGAGGGGACCACACAACACTAGGAGAAAGACAGGAGAGGACCGGCATAACACTAGGAGAAAGACAGGAGGGGACCAGCACAACACTAGGAGAAAGACAGGAGAGGACCGGCACAACACTAGGAGAAAGACAGGAGGGGACCGGCATAACACTAGGAGAAAGACAGGAGAGGACCGGCACAACACTAGAAGAAAGACAGGAGGGGACCGGCATAACACTAGGAGAAAGACAGGAGAGGACCGGCACAACACTAGGAGAAAGACAGGAGGGGACCAGCACAACACTAGGAGAAAGACAGGAGAGGACCGGCACAACACTAGGAGAAAGACAGGAGAGGACCGGCACAACACTAGGAGAAAGACAGGAGAGGACCAGCACAACACTAGGAGAAAGACAGGAGAGGACCGGCACAACACTAGGAGAAAGACAGGAGGGGACCGGCATAACACTAGAAGAAAGACAGGAGAGGACCGGCATAACACTGGGAGAAAGACAGGAGAGGACCGGCATAACACTAGGAGAAAGACAGGAGAGGACCGGCACAACACTAGGAGAAAGACAGGAGGGGACCAGCACAACACTAGGAGAAAGACACGAGAGGACCGGCATATAGGAGAAAGACAGGAGAGGACCAGGATAACACTAGGAGAAAGACAGGAGAGGACCAGGATAACCCTAGGAGAAAGACAGGAGAGGATCCCTTTGGATACCCTTGAACTGGTTTTTGTTTCTTTTGAAAGACAAGTTAAATGTATTCACTTTGTTTACGCCTGGCGACCCACTCAAAGAGATCCTGCTACCCACCAGTTGAGAACCACTGTGCTAGAGAAGCAGTGGGGGAAGGTTCCGCAGAGCATCAGAGGAGAGACGTTGTGTGCGATGTGAGGACTGGTGACTGTTGTGCAGGTGATGCTGGCGGAGCTGAAGGGCACCGAGGAAGTCTACGCCGTCAAAGTCCTGAAGAAAGACGTTATTCTGCAGGACGACGACGTGGACTGCACCATGACGGAGAAACGCATCCTGGCTCTGGCTCGGAAACACCCCTACCTCACCCAGCTCTACTGCTGCTTCCAGACACGAGTATGGCTACACGCATTAGCACGTCCACCAGCATTAGCATGTCGACTAGCGTTAGCGCTGCCACATGCATTAGCAGGTCCACTAGCATTTGCATGTCCAGTAGATTTAGCATGCCATTTGACAATGCAGCTTCTTCTGCTTCTTCTGCTTGTGCTGACCCTTGCATCCGTCTTGTCTCCAGGACCGTCTGTTCTTTGTGATGGAGTACGTGAACGGTGGAGACCTGATGTTTCAGATCCAGAGGTCCCGGAAATTTGACGAGCCGCGTTCTCGCTTCTACGCAGCTGAAGTCACCTCGGCTCTCATGTTCCTGCATCGCAACGGCGTCATCTACAGGTGAGCGCTGCTGAGAAGGTCTAGGTTTAGTCCTTTCAAACTTATTTTCTGATTGAACAATTTCTATAGAGTTTATCCCACTTCCTCACACACGAGCAACACAGGCTGGTGTGTTGAAATGACTCGGCATTTAACCTGCCTTGCGAGCACAGGGACTGGCCACCTGCTGAGTCCCTGTCCCAGCAGGAGACCAGTCCCTGTGCTCATACGGCTCTTTCTTGACGAAATAAGTGCAGTTAATGCATTGTCCTGAATTATAATCGCTTTGTTGTTCTGTACAAAGGGACTTGAAGTTGGACAACATTTTGCTGGACGCCGAGGGTCACTGTAAACTGGCTGATTTCGGGATGTGCAAAGAGGGCATCATGAACGGAGTGACCACCACCACCTTCTGTGGGACCCCAGACTACATCGCACCAGAGGTAAGACTGGCTCACGGTGAACTTATACTTAAAATACTCTTTCAAAATTTTCCTAATGAATTTGTTGTTATTTGAGCTGGGCAAAATGGCAACAGAATATTATAGGTTTTTTTTCTTCAGAATCTGGACGTGTACTATTTTAATAAGGAAATACTGTATGTCAAACAGAGGAACTGCCTTTCAACAGTATACATGTTCACTAGCTTTAGCATGTACACTAGCATTAGCACGGCCACAAGTATTAGCACGGCCACGAGTATTAGCATCGGAACTAGCATTAGCACATCCATTAGGATTAACTTGTCCACTAGCATTCGCAAGTACGCTAGTATTCAAACAGTTGTACATCAATATTTTGATATAAATTATATAAAACAGTTCATATTAAACTGCGATTTCAGAATTTGGTGATTTTCGTAATATTGAAGTCCAGAAAGTATGGTATGACCCTATTATTTTAGACACGTTCCTGTCTTGTTCTCGTGGTGGAAAGACGACATGGGTCTAAACAACACGCCAGCCTTTCCCTCTGCTGTCTTGGGTTGACACACCCAAAAAATGCATGCAAAACAAAATAAATGTGAAAAAAATATCTAAACAATGCATTCTTGGATGAAATGGGCGATAAAGGTGACCACCACAGGCCTGACCAGCGGGTGTTGTGTGGACAGATCTTACAGGAGCTGGAGTACGGGGCTTCGGTGGACTGGTGGGCTCTGGGGGTGCTCATGTACGAGATGATGGCGGGACAGCCCCCCTTCGAGGCCGACAACGAGGACGACCTGTTCGAGTCCATCCTCCACGACGACGTGCTCTACCCCGTCTGGCTCAGCAAGGAGGCCGTGGCCATCCTCAGAGCGGTAACTCTCACTTCCCTCACTTCCACTCATTCTCCCCTGAATGTTTCCCAATCACTTTCAGCTGGTATTTATGAAAGTGTGTGTTTTTTGTTTGTAGTTTATGACCAAAAACCCGGCAAAACGCTTGGGCTGCGTGGTGAACCAGGGCTGCGAGGAGGCCATCAAGACCCACCCGTTCTTCAGAGAGATCGACTGGGTGCTACTGGAGCAGAGGAAGATCAAGCCACCATTCAAGCCCAGAATTGTAAGAATACGCACACGCACACATACACAGACACACACACACACAAACACATAGACACACACACAGACACACACACACATACACAGACACAGACACACACACACACACACATACATACACAGGCACAGACACACACAAACACATAGACACACACATACATACACAGACACAGACACAGACACACACAAACACATAGACACACACACACACACACATACACACACACAGACACAGACACACTCAAACACGCACACACACACTCCCTTGTACCAAAGGTGAAACTGTTTTTTCATACACTGTTTTGATTTTTGTTTGAGGATTTTCTCCGAGGGATGAAGTGAAAAAGGTGAAAAAACACTGTATAGTTGTTTAAAACTCATTGGATTGTTCACATTTAAGTCTTCTCTCAAAAATGTATTTTAATATAATTAAATGATCAAAATCGCAACGAATGTTAGACCATGTATGTTTCATGATAACTGTGAAAAACTCAAGTTCACACAATGTACGCTCTAAAAACTCATTTGTTGGAACAGAGTAACCAGTATATTGTACGATCTGTAGATCTGCTTAAGTGGCGCCACCTGCAGGTGAAAGCCAGATCCTTTTCAGACCTCAGGATTTATGCAGGGCAGAGCCTGGTTAGTACTGTGATGGGAGACCTCTGAGAACAACAGGTGCCACAGTGAGGCGGCTGCGGCTGTAAAGTGCCAAACTATTATTATGTCCTTAGGCAAGACACTTCACCCACATTGCCTAGAATGAGTCTGTGGTGTGTTTTTGTGAATAGTTGGTGGAGGTCGACCAATTATATTTCTCATTCTGACCAATATTCTAGTGAAATTGAACCTGTTTTTTGTGTGTCTTCCATTCAACATCATCTGTGAAAACTCTTGTGTTGCAGAAAACCAAACGCGATGTGAATAACTTCGACCAGGACTTCACGAAGGAGGACCCGGTTCTGACCCCCACCGACGAGGCCATCATCCGACAGATCAACCAGGAGGAGTTCAAGGACTTCTCGTACACCGCACCGGAGGAGACGCAAACCTAAAACACTCCCACACCTGCGTACAAATATATATAAATATATAAATAGTAATATACAAAATGCTATTGGTTGGTGTTACTTTTGGAGATATCCTTGACTTGCATTGTGTGGTTCTTGTTGCCTGGGTTTTTTATGTAACTGACTATGAATTACACCGGGGCTTGACAGTAACTTTGCGACACATAAAGCTTTCACATGCTAGAAATCTGATTTATTCTATGCTTTAAAAGTTTGACAATCTCCTGAAAGTGCAAATGCGATTAAAGCTGGGGTACCCAACTTTCAAACAACAAGAAAACTGTAAAAAATATCGGTTCTATCACTAGTTACATCTTTAGACACCATTTTTCAGACAGAAAAGTGAAAAATAGTTGAGCACTGTCAATCAATCCTCAGCCCAAAGAGTCAAATAATGAAGTAGTATTATTTATGAAACGCAAAAGTTAGTTACCCCAGCTTTAAACACAGTGGACACACCACAGACTTGAAATCGACCAACAATGAGAAATACCTTGAACTTATACAAACATTATTGTATTTTCTGCATTATTTATCCACTTCCCACAGTTATTGTCAAGCCCTCAATAAAGCAGCCCAGTCTCAGAGATTGGTAGCTACAGTATGTCTTATCCACCAACATTTAGAATTAACAATGATTGCACTGAAGATAAATTAAATCCAGTAAAGGGAAAAACACTGAATAGCTGCCGCGTCAGAAACTGACTTTCTATGTTTTGGCAAATATCCCAGTTTTATTAATACTTTTGTCTTTTCTCTTCACTTCCTGATTGTAAAAATTATAACGTCACACTGGCTGGAACGTCCTAAAGTGAGAACTCATACAACAACAAAAATATTTTGTTTTGAATTGGTATTTAAAAACAAGTTTGTATTATAATTCTGATACTCCCTGGGCTGATGCACTGCTCTTTAGTGCTTGAATATTAGTAAAGACACAAGGATCAAAGTCAATGGTAAAAGTACTAGCTGGACTACTGAGCGCCTGTATATAAACCTCACCTAATCTAATTCTAAAGAGACAGTTTTTGTCCTCAAATGGGCAACACACAAACAGCTGATGGAGCAAAACCATTAAACAAAAGACCTCTGTTGGAACTAATATGTATATTTGGATTTATGGACTTTTTATTTTGAGTTTTTAGTCGTTATAGGACTTTTTTAACGGTTAAGCTGTTAAAATTCTTCTCATTAAATAATTTTGTAACCAGTTCAAACAGTCGTCTATCTGCTGCATTACAGCATAAAAACCTGCAGCTTATACTCAGGCGCGGCTTATATGTGGACAACATTTTTTTTTTTTTTTTTTTTATTAGTGCGGCTTATAAACAGATGCGCCTAATAGTCCAAAAAACACGGTATTTCCTCTTTTCTTCACTAATTTACTGGTGCAAAGTATTACTCCACCAAAGAAAGTATTACCCCACCAAACACACCTATGCGAGACTGGGCTGCACATTTCACAGTGCACTTTTATCACGAAACAAAAAACCCATAGAGCGACACGCAGACGAACTCCTCCGGTTCCTGCTGGGCCTGGTCCCAGCGCGGGACGGTCCTGTACAAAGCCTGTATTTGAGTGTCATTTTGTGTCTGTATCCTCCGCTGAAGCCGGAGACCTGTGGCGCATGGACAAGCACCCTGTTTGTGTGGACTGTTTAGGGCCAAACGTACCCTTTGTGCAATACCTGACCACCCATCGATATATACTGTATATTTAACACTTTTTTGGTTGCTTATTTTTGCCAGGTTTTTTTGTTGTTTTTTCTTTACTTTAATTGTGTGTTTTTTTTCTATGTCTCTGGGATGGATAAATTGTGGTCCTATGTGCCGCTCCGTGATTGGTCAAAAGCAGGATTTGTTCTAAACTTTGGGAATTGATTGAGGCGTTTCAGGGCTGCACGATTTTGGAATTAAATGTCTTAAGTGGGATTTTTTTTTATTTACATTGACATTTTCAATACGTGTTTTAAAAGAAAGAGTTCAGGAATCAAACAAGTTGTGTTCAATTTGAAAAACACAGGACACACTTATATCAGGTCCAACAATAACATTTGAACACACACATTTTAGACAGAGTGTGTGTGTAATCTCAACAGTATTATAGTATTTTGCACTCCACTTCATGTACAAAATTATGTAGGTATTCCAGCTTTAATACAAGACATTTTTTTGTTTGTTTTTTTTTTTTTTTAGAGACCTAAGTATTTACTCTTTTCCAATTGACTCCACTGAAAGATTCATTTCAATTCGACTGTGATTACTCGTGCAGCCCTAACGCGTTTCCACTCTTCCTCCCTTTGGTCTGGTGCAGTTCTTGCTTTTGTCCTGCAGGTGGCGGTGTTGCTTTACTCCAGCTGGTCCACGTTCTTATTGTGTTTGTACAAAGTGAATGTGAAAGCTTTACAGGCTATTCAACTAATTATACAGAGCAGAGCAGAAGCCTGGGTCGCAACGGAAAAGCCTCGCTCGCTCACTCATCTGCTTCGAGTTTTACCTTTATTTTTATTTTTTTATATGAATTTTATTTTATTGACGTGAATGTACTTTTGTGGGTGAATGCATGATGCTGTATGTGATAACTGTGTCATTTCTGGGCTTTGTTCAAACCTCAATAGTCATTTTTATTCTACTGTTTTTATCCAGTAATTTGTAATCCACCTTATTTACACTGTTAATTTTGGTCACAGTTGTAATAGAGATTCACTCCAGCATTTGTAGACAATACACGTTTTGTAATGCTATTGTCCTTTTCTTTTTTTTTAAAGAATTATATAGAGATCATACCATTGTTTTAAAACAGGCTTTTACACCAAAACAAATTGACCAAATTTCATCAAATCCAAGTTCCTCACTCTCAAAGCAATTTAGTTCTGTCTCTAGTTTTCACACGCATTTATTATTGGCCTCTGTCGCATCTTTAGATCGGCTTTTTCAGACAGAACATTCATGGGGGAGGAAATGATGTACCCCAGCTCTAAATCTGGTTAATTCAAAGCCATTGTATGTATTTATTTGTTCATATATATTTTGTGTATATTGTGGTTTGAACAAAGCCTGTGCGTCTCTGTGCATTTCTCTATAGTTACCACCGCAGTGTTGAAGTCCCCCTTTATCCTATATATAAATATATCCCCCTCAGCCAAAAACATTATTTTTTTCTTTTCGACAAACTTTTAATGCTTTTATTTCACTTTATTTTTTCTATTATTATTACTCTATTATTGTAAAGTGTATCTTGGGGGACATCTTTGTGTAATATACTAAAACTACTCTCTGTTACTGAAAAAAGAATACCTCTCATATGACATCCATAGAAAGCTTATTTCTTCCTCTTTTGTGATACAAAAATAAAAGTCAACATTATACGGACCGACGTGGGGAGTGTTGTACATTTGAAAAGTGCAGGTTTTGGGTATAGGAGTTGTTCTTTTTTTTGGCGTTTTAGTGATGCTTTTGTTCGCCCATGGACATATAGGGTCTGCTGCTGGTCACACTATCTAGAATTACTATGTGCCAAAATGTAGTGCAACAGCCGGGCTAGTCCTGTCTGCTCCGGATCCAATAAAACCATCTACATCACCTCCGGCCTGGCCTCTCTTTGTGCTGGTAGTAGTAGTAGTAGTAGTAATAGTAGTAGTATTAGTAGTAGTAGTAGTGAGTTAGTTAGATACTTTATTGATCCCCGCAGGAGAAATTCAGGTGTCCAGTAGCAGCAAAAAGACATTCCATCCATCCATCTTCTACCCTTTAATCCATTTCTGGGTCAGGGGGGTGGCAATCAGAGATGCCACCCAAGTCTCATAGCACCAGCCCCTCACTGACCCTCTGCAGGTGGTGAGTCCACAGGAGGACGGCTGCTCTCTGAGTGTGAGCATAGCCTTGATCTTTCAGTTGGGGCTTTGGGCAAAGTGGGGTTAAGTGTCTTGCCCAAGGACACAACGACAGCAGTCATCAGTGGGAGTCGGTGGAGAAGGTGCAGAGGTGGGAATTGAACCCACGACCTTCTGGCCTTAAGGCCAATGCTCTACCAACTGAGCTACTGTCGCCATTTTCTCTGCTCTGGTCCAGACGAAAATAATGAATGCTTCTTTAGCATTTTTCAAAAAGTTAGCCTTCCTCCAGTGGATTTTTGCCTGATCCACTTGGTTTGGACCATGAATCCTCTCTGCTCTGGTCTGGACCAGTGCAAAACCATGAACACTGTACTGCAGCAACACCTCAGGTAGAAAAAAGAAAGAAAAATAATAATTGTAAAGCACAAAACAACTGTTTCTGGGCTACTTCGGACTTGCTGCTGTTTCCAGTGCATTCAAAAGTAAACCAGTACTAGCAATAGTGGTAGTTGTAGCAGTGGTAGTAGTGATTGTAGTATACAGTAATAGTCAAAGCCACATGTGGCTTCTAAAGGCCCTCGCTGCATCTCCTAAAGGAGGTCTTCCATCATCACTGATAATGAACAATACAATACGAAACATTTAGAATATTATTTGATTTGTTCATTTCTAAAACCTTTGGCAGCTCTACCTGGAAGGGGCTCCCGAGCTACAGGTTGGAGAGCCCTGCTTTAGATGCTAAATTAGATGACAGGTACAGTGAGGAATGCTCCACTCCCTACCGGGGCTCGGGCCTAAGAATAATAGAAGTACTGGTTGGACTACATGTCGGAAGACTTTACAAAGCTGACTGTAACGCCCAGGTTTGTATGAACAACCAGTTTAGGGTAGACAAAAGTGCATGAGGAATGCAACAATAAATAAATGAATTTTATTTTATTGACGTGAATGTACTTTTGTGGGTGAATGCATGATGCTGTATGTGATAACTGTCATTTCTGGGCATTGCTCAAACTTCAATCGTCATTTTTATTCTGTTTTTATCCAGTGTATTTGTTTGGAAAAAGTTGAAATATTTTCTTACATTTTTCATTCAAATGTATTCCAATTTATTTACGCCATCACTTTTGGTCACAGTTGTAAAAGAGA